ACATAAATATTTTCTATGTTCTTCCAACACATCCTAGGACGTTAGACTCTAGTCTGCAATCGTTTTACACTTCACTCCAGGTTAGACCCAGAGGGTTATGTTATGTCATTATTCACATAAAGACAATAAGAGATTGGCGGGATTTGAACCCGGGACCCTGGGTACTTGAGCTTTACGCTGTACTACTTACTAGACCAGTTCAACTAACTATTTGGTGGTGTAAAAGTTCACAATTTTACATAAAAACTCTAAATTAGTTGTTTTCGCCTGGAAAATTTTCTTTTCATACTAAAACCCTCAACTCAATTTATCCAGCTTGAATCTATGATTTTAATAATCACATTTTACAAATTCTTTATAGTCGTAATCAACTTCATTTGTTTTGTATCTTTTTATTAATGTGAATTTGTTGTGCAATAATTGTGACCTGTGTATTATATGTATCCGATCTGAAAGAGAAAATAAACAAACATTCTATTCTATTCTATTCTATGAATCAGTTTTGATCACTACAAAGCAAATACATTTGTTTAAGCGATAAAGCTGCTACAATAAACCAGGCTAATCTGCTCATAAGAGGCTTATTGTTTCATACATAAAACTGCTTTTAACCCAATCAAGCTTAGTGTTAAGGGTAAGCGGGATAATTAGTTCTCAATGGCTTATCTTGTTGATATGTCTAACAACGATGAGTTTGTTTTTCAATTTATTTGAACCCTCTTACATCAAATGTCAATATTTTATATCTAGACATTGTTAAGCTTGTTTAGAAAAACACGTGCGTTAAAAAATTGTGTATTTTGCTGAGCTTGTATTATCAAGGTATACAAACTAATAATTTTATCCGTATAAATTCAATTTAATTCCCCAACAGCATGGACTCAGTGAATCTTATTGCATTGTTAGACTTGCCGTTATGGTGCAATTTTCATAAATTGGCTACCCTCGAATCAAAACTTAGCTATAAGTTAAAAAACTTAGCTAAATAGTTTTTTGGGGGCAAGAACGCGTATATAAAATGTCAACTCTTGTGATTCGGACCCATAACGATATTTCCTTTGTTCTTTTTTGCTAAGACTTACGAGGGTAAATGGCAGTAAAAACTACTAAAATGTTATGATGTGTCCAAACCTTAAGAAAACGTTTTACAAAACGTGTTTGAATGATTTGCACAAAATTTGTTGTGTATGTTAAAATATGATATTTCCATTATAAGTAAATGTTCTATTTTATTTCAGAAACTGAATTGGTATTGTGGAAATACTTTTTACACAGTATAGTATGATTTCATTCATTCTTTAGGATAATATAATGCAAGAATTTCAAATAGTAAGCCGTGCTCAAGTCAGTGCTGCGCTCAAGCACAAGACAGCGGAAACACCAGCAGCAAGAATAAGAACAGAACATAATCTAAAAATGACGGCGGGACGAATCTTTTCAAACCCTTTTTCAGGCGACTAAGAATACTTACCCCTCTATTTTATATGTTTTAGTGAAGTAAATGTTGTTCTCTAAAAAAAAAAACTAACGTATAACAAATCATACATGTCTCGTTAAACAAATGTAACTATGTTTTATATTCTCGTTGGAAAAGTTACAGTGTTTATATAAAAAAAAATTAACTTTATAAAATTCTCATCAACCAATTAAGATAGTCATATATGAAGTAATGAAGTGTACAAATAAATCTATTGATTCTTACCATTATGAAAAATAAAATAAAAAGAACACAACAGTTTTAACCCGCCATAAACCAAACACGATGATTTTTTTTTAGAATTTGAGTTCATGAAAAGTAAAAAATACCCCCGCCGCAGCAAACCTGCCGACTAAGCGAATTTCCATTTGTCTGAATTGATTTTCAGTTAAATATATTTTAATAACATTAGGTTTAACGAGTACCTAGGTTTGCTGCTACAAGGAAACTAATAAAGTGTGTTTTTGAGTAAAATATTGATAGCTTAGTACAAAATAAATAAATTTGCCAAGTTTGATCAAAATATATTCATAAACAAGCAAACTACAACATTTGACAATATTCTCCATAAGAATAACATGGGAATTTTAAATTTACAATTTTTTTAATTTTCTCCGTTACTAATAATCGAACAAAAATACTTTTATATACTAAATTATTTGTTTTTTTAAGCTCTTTAAAAAGGTCTAAAGAGAAATTGGGAAATTTTGTGTTTTGAGGGTCAAAAGTGAGAAAAACCAATTTTTACCCCATAAAACCCCCCGTAGAGCCCCGTTCCCATGGTCCGATCGTGCTGGTTCGCGAACTCATTCAAGTTTATCCCGCTTTACACCTTTAAACCAAATTTCATCAAAATCGGACAAAAATTACTCAAGTTATCGCGTTCACGGACGTATATATATATATATATATATATAAGTCTATATATATATATACATATATAAAAATTTGAACGAATAGTGTTTTTGGCCTCTGGGGACATCAAAATGAAAAAGTAAATCGGTCCCGGGTCTAGGTCTTACCGTGCCACCTACGGTAATAGCTACTTCCCTATAGGGAAATTCGCTAAAACTTATCCTTTTTGATTTTTTATTGTTCAAGCATCATGTTTAGAAATATTTACATTCGTTTTTTGGGTTTTTAAACAACTTCCTTTGATATTAATAATCAAATGAATACTGTATGAGTTCTTTTATTCATATTTATTTAGTGACAGACGATAATTGATAAACAAAGTGAAAATGTGTCCATGTCTACTGACTTCCTATTACGTGAACTACTTTTTATTTGTTAAAATATGTCAAATCCAAAACATATAATAATACAATCGCATAAACATCCCAACATATAACGTAACGACCTTATCCTGTGTGATACAGCGCAACGGATGGTCCGATCCCGGGATTTAGTTTGTTATCAGATTTCATTTCAACACCGGTTATTGCAACAAATCACCACTGTTTCTGGTTGTTTAACTTATCTCTGTTTGCATTGTTGTCATGGTGGAATGTCAGTTTGAAATCTTTGAAAGCGTGTTACAATTATCAGATGTTGGTGTCATATTTGTTTATAGTTGAAACCCTTTTCATTTCGACTATGAACAGATACGCTGAATGCAATGGAAAAATATCGTTTCCTACAGTCACCCGACAAAGTGGGCTTCCTGCTTCCTTGCACTGAGCATAGTACAGTAAGCTGCTAATTGCTGCATTTACTTATTTTGCCGCACACTTTTTACTTCGTCGCACAGTTTCTACTTTGCACACCAGTATTCCAACCAAATAACACAAAGCGTGCTTTTATTATGCACGTAATCCGTGTACTCTTGCAAATAGGTTGGCAACACTTAAAGATTCCACGAATACGATCAGTTGATGCAGATTGAAATAATATATAGATATTTTTCTGTATTTTTAGTGAAATGCTACAAAAGAGTGTTTATCTGCAGCAAACGCAAGGTTTTAAAAGGTTGTAAAAAATTTTACAATATTTTAGGAATTATTGGAATATTCTCAAGTTACTAATTATTTTCTATAGTATCAAAAATGTTCAATAACTTTGACCTTAAAATGTTTGTAGGTTAGCTGCATTGTGTTGTTTTTGTATGTAGGTTAGCAGGGTGGATTGATACTGCCTGGTGCTAGAGTGAGGGGTTGTTTTATCAATTATTTTACAGGTGCTGCATGCTAAAGTATCCATCGTTCAACTGTATTTATCTCTGGCTGCTATATACGGGGTTAGTAAAAAGTCTGGAGACCCCCTGTTAATTTTTTTTCGGCCCATAGTAGAAAAACTAAACTCGGCACACCTTTTTGGCATGTTATGAGGTACTATTTGGGCATAACCGCCACTTGGTGTTTTCCCAAAAATGGGAGATTTTGGAGAAAACCCCCTCATTGTTGGTTTTCTTTTACCAGGACCTTCAAAATATGGGGTCACTCGATGGGTCTTACTATTTGAATTTTTCAGTTTTCTCCAAAATCCCCCATTTTTGGGAAAACACCAAGTGGTGGTTATGCTCAAAAAGTACTTCATAGCATGCCATAAAGGGGTGCCGAGTTGAATTTTTCTAGTATGGGCCATTAAAAAATTAACAGGGGGTCTCCAGGCTTTTTACTGACCCTGTATATGTTATCTAATTGGAATGTATTAGTTGGTACCAGTCATTCAGTTTTATACTTTAAATAAGGGTTTAGTAGTTATTTAGAGACTAAAAACCTTTGGTAAGAACGATTTATGATATACGCGTAAGCTAAAATTCAATTAATGACATCCATTTTATTTGACTTTGTTTTATGCCATACGAATAATTAAAATTAATATGATTACCTGGTCTCCGTAGAATCTCCATCCGTTGATATATGTGATCATTTGAGTATTATCTTCAGGCTCAGTATTTACTCTTCGTGAAACCAAAAGCTACAGTAAATATCTTCACAGTAAAGACAATTCTTTACTGTTTCCAATTTACATGTTGATTGTTGAGGTAGTAAAGAGGCCACATAGTGTTTTGTGTCAATAAAGATTTGTATTAGGAAAAGTAACTCAACTATGAGAATATACACCAAGTAAGTCAAAAGTTGTGGACCGGTTGGGATTTTATTGGTTTTTATACTGACTCAAATACCTAAATAGTCCAACTACTTAAATAATTTTCATGATAACGGAGCCTTTTTTACTGCACCACTTGGCAGTCGCTAATACACTACTTACACTACTTATTATTCAAATCGAAACTGAATTTTACTGTCGACTTTTGTCTCAGTAAAGCATAACAAAAATCTTTGTTTTTTTTTAACTGTATTTTGGATTATTAGGCGTACTCTCAGTGTTTGTAATATGATTATATAAAGAAGCATTTATAATTTAAAATTGTGTACATGACATTTATAATAACAATAAGTTTCGAAGTAAGCTTGTAGTGATAAGTTTATACAAGTCTTGTTAGAAATGTTCAACATTTGTTGAGTTTTTTACGAACATTATTTACAGGAAGATATTGGAAATGCAAAAAGGGCTTACAAAAAACAACACTATTTGATATATTTCAATTAAATTACAAAACAGGCAACGCTGTAACAATGTATAACAGTACAACTTGGTCTTTAATGTTCTGACTCACAAGAATCAAGTTTCTCCAATTGCTTCATAAGGCAGTGTTCTATTTGAAGTGCTCGTTGCAATGCGCGATTAGAGTATGGAATATGGTTTGTCCGGGTTTCTTGAATTATTTCTCTCCTTATCATTAATCACTGGCTCCTTATCCACGTACAGAGATCCCAAATTGACTAGATGTACTTTCCATGGACAAAATAGCAGGTCAAAGTTCTTCGATGATTAGAGAATTAGAGAACGAAGAGCATTGCACTTCTGGACCAAGTCCTTTGATTGGTCCTTTTACGGTGTGTCTTTAGATGTTCCTAGACAACGAAGATGTCTTGGCGTCCCTCGTCTACCAAAGGGAAGTTCTCCTCGCTCCGGAAGTCTTTCTTGGTGACTGCCCTCCACTCAGACAGTGGCGAAGACCCGCGGGGTTCCAGCGTACGGCATCGCCTGGAAAACACATCAATTATTTTGTGGTTCGCTATCAAATTATCTTAAATGACACTATAAAAAAAAATACGTGACACATTGCTTACACTTGTCTAAAACTGTTTTGCTGTCAAATGAACTGTACCTCTCGAAAAATGAAGCCACAATGAGCTAATATAATCTAAACATATTAATGCTCTGTATTTTGTATTTTCCTAAAAATTCATCACAATCGTGGTGGAACATCCTTGTTCCTTACTTTAAAAATCACCCCCCTTCAACATGTTGGATCTAAATTAATCTTGAAGATAAAACTATCAAAAAATTCTAAATAAACGTCTTAAATGTGTGGGCCTACGAGGTGAATTTAAAATCCGTTCTGTTTAATTATATTTTAAATAAACTGGGTATGTTACAAATTATTTAGTTTTGTTTCGGATTTAATAGATTTTTCTGTCATAAACTTATAACTAGACCAAATCAATCAAACAGTATTAGTTAAATTATTTTCCCCAGAATTACATATGAGGTCATATACTGTTTATTATATAGTAGTGATTCTTTTTTTTAAGAACGAAGCAGTTGGCAGCCTGTATGTGGATTCCACGATACGGTCGGGCTCAATTTTTCGCAGAGTTGCCAACTTTACCTAGCCACTTGTCATCCTCAACTAGAGGTTATTATTGTTCCACGCCGCCATTTGTCATTCCCCCCAAAATTAATCTTTTTTTTAGCTAAAAACTTAAAATATTATTAATAAGCTTATAAATTGAACCACTTTGTCAGTTTTTTAAATCTTTCTGTAATCTAAAAATGTGTCATAAAAATAACGGTTACTAACAATATATGTATTTACAATAATCTTATTAAATTGACTACCATTTGTATATTTGATACGTTTCCAACACATTAGCCTACAGAAAATGTATATTAACTAGCTTGTGTTTACTATATTATATGAATTGTATACTCAATGTATTCAGGGTAACTAATGCTTAACGTAATCTAAACTTTCCATACTACTATACAATTTTGTAAATATTATTTAAAACTGCAACTGAAAGAGGAATGGCTATAGTTTAAAAATAAACAAATAATGTGCTAAATTATTCATCAATAAGATATTTATTTTAGATTCATAACATGAGCTTGATAAAAATCACCAAGCACTAAAGACAAGTATTATTAACTGTAAAAGAAAATATTGTGTGAATCCCTTACTTTAAATAATTATCATAGAAAACTCCTTTGCCGATAAACCTAAATTATAACTTGATACATTCATCTATGATTACCACTTGACTTTAACATCTTTATTATCTTCTTCTATTAACCACTAATAAAATAATTACAGTGATTAGATAAATCCTTTATAACCTTTCCTGCACATAGTTGGCAAAATTGTCATTTTTAAATGCTGAAACCACTTCAAACTTAGCAAAAAAAAATAACTTTAGCAGATTCGAATGTCTTTATTTAGTATGCGTACAGTTAAATAAAGTGCAAAATATTTTAGTTTTATAATATAACGAAAATAATTAAATAATAATATAATTACTATTTCATTCAATATGTTGACTTTTTTCGGACATCCAAATTTCAAAATTATTTGCTTAATCATCTACTTTAAAACTAAAAAATCGTGTAACGATTCAATAAAAGATCCCGGTCTGCTAACGCAGGTTATTAGTAGTAGTAACTTTAGTAACCCAAGGTTACTATAGGTTTGTATAAACGTAGGTCAGTATCTTTGAACAGTTTCACAAGACAAGGCCCAGATGGCTTCTATAGTTTACTGGCCCAATAAGCGACCCATTTACGCTCGTTTCCTATTGGCTCAGTATATTTGTTGTTCTGCCCCACTACAACATTTTAATTAGCCTTGTGCTAAATTACAGGTCATTCTTTGTTAGCCGTTGCGGTAAAGCATTGCATTGTTCAAAGATAGTTTATACAGGCTGGCTAAGTGTGTTGCTATTTACTTCTAAGATTCTTATTTTAGTGTGAATTGAAGATAATTTAATATATTAGCTTTACCATTGCTTATCATGCAGACAAACTTTAACAAAAACATGCAAAAATGAGAACTAATTATGACTACTTAATTGCCTAAGTAAATAGCAATATTTTTGCAAATTGACATTTGTTGTGACCATGATACACAAAAGTCTCTTTTAAACTAAGATCTCCCCTGTCTCAGTATCAACACATTCCGTTTCGGATGTATCCTAGGCAAACTTGGGAAGCTGTAAAAATGATCTACTACATTTACGTTCCTTGGACCAAGAACTCACACCATATTTCATATCTCACAGTTTCTTTCCCAGAATCCATTTGTTTTATTGCCTTAGACCGACTAAGATTGTTTTGGAACATTTAACTTAGCCACAACCTTCGCACTTCCCTGTCATTGTTTTGTCTTCGTATATTTTATGCTGATTTATACATTTGAAAAATACAAAGTATTCGGTGAAGAACAACACACATTAAACTCAAATGAACTGTTATATATAGAAAACCATTTGACTATTTAGTATCCAATAGTGAATATTAAACATTTAAATGCGATTTTTATTTAATTGCCAAATATTACCGGGTAAAAAATATTATTGCCAAATTTGTTAACAAAATTTATGCAACAGACTATTTAGATTAATAAGTTGTTCACTGGTGTAATGCAATACATTTAGATTACTTAAATGCGTAGCCTACTAATTGATTTGTATGCAGTTTTGGATAACATTCCTAATGATATCTAACTCACGTGCTACTTGATACCCTGGTCATTTTTATATAACCTATCTACCTGGTGTACAGGTTTGTATTATTGGTTTACAATCCAATGTCATTTATAACTTATTTCGATTCATTTAAGTTGTTTCTTTTTTTTTGTTCAATGATAGTGTTATAAATCACGACTGAATTTTCAGACTTCTATTTGTTTAAAGTAACCAAAGTAAGTGTCTACACCTTCAACAGATGTTATCTTTGGATCAGCAAGAATAGTACGATAGGTGAACTTTACCAAGGCATTTGCCAGAAGGGCGTATAATGAGGCCCGATGCCACACTAATAAAAACAAGTTTGATGGCTCGAACAGCGTGATTGTTTGATTCTATTACAGCGCAGCTAAATCAAAGGGTTGTTTTATTTAGATTGGCCACTGGAGAGACCAGCTTCAAACAGCAAGCGGGCGCCGAGCCAGCCAGCACAATACAAATAACCGGTGCCTTACACTCTTACACTAGAATCTTACACTCAGAATTCTACACCATCTTCCGGTCTTCATATTACTCAGCACAAAACCACCTATGAGTCCAAGAAGGTACTCTTGTATGATATCGGCTTCAGGGATTTGGTTGTCAAAAAAAGCTAGGACGCTCTTTTCAAACGTATGAGAGTTTCTGTCAGGACATTTTTGATACTTTGGGTTCGAATGACAGAACTGGTTTAAAACGTTTACCATTAAAAGTGGGTCAAAGAGCGTTTATCGGGAAAAACAAGCGAAACAATCAAAAGGTTGCCGATTTGGTCCTAGAGAAAAGTCAGTAGCTTTTTTTATGGTTCGAAACTGGACCCAGCTGTTCCTGAGCTTGAAATGAATTATCCTGACTCGTGAAACAGACCATCTTACAGCATTCTACCATTCTACACTCATCTTCACTACTCATATTGGAGTTAAAATACGCACCTACGTGGCATCCCTATTTCAATTCATAATTATAATAATAATGATAGTTCTTCGGGGAAATGCATCATTTAGGTATATCCTAAATCAGTAACAATCGTTGATAATCTTTCACATAAAAATTACTTATTATTATAACTACGTTTTTTTTTCACATATCCTCATACTAAGCTTACGCATTGATAAGGAATTGTGGATTTGTTTATAGACACTTAAAAAAACAAAGCATTTTACGAGAAAACTGTTTTAGAGGTATGCGATCATAAAACGAAAGATATTACAAACACTACTTTTTATTGTAATCTCGAAGCAATATTTACCTACCTAAAATACCGTAAGGTCGTGATACGAAACAGCCTACGGAAGGTCAAACACTCGAGCGTAATAGACCAGAAGTAAACAATATTAGGAGTGTTGAGCTAACGCAGACATGCGTAAGTTCACATACTTCGTTGATTACTTCAACTTCCTGTGATGGACTTTGTTAGCCAGCGATTAAGAAACTAGTATTGGAAAATCATTAAAAAAGGTACGCTTAATTTTTATAACTACTACATTAACATTTTTAAATGCTATTAGATATATTTAAACGTGGTAAATGTATGCAATATAAGTGTAAATATATCACACATTTAAGGAAGACATCTTTTATTGATTTATAATTTATGTTTTTTTAATATTATATTTAGAATTTTTATTTATTTATATACAGTTTTTATATTAAGAGAGACCAATTGCCTCCTTTTTTAACCGTTCCAAACCAAATTTTGATTTATAAACTAGTGTACAGTAATTACTTTTCGATAAACCAAAAAAAAGTATTTATTGAAATGTATTGAAACTACATTTTATTACTTTTGTCTATCAAAGCATTTTGCTAAAAATATTCTAGTTACAATCAGTATTTAATACCTGATTGATTCTTTCCTCTTGATTCTACATTCAAAAGTATACGAACCTATAAACTATTCTTTGTCATTGTGATCCCATACAAATGTTACCTATTTCCGAATTTGTAAGTACGGTACACAGCATTATAGAAAGTGCAATGTCAATACCAGTGTTAGGTTTTATTATAAAGAAGCCTGGACAAGACAAAACACTTGGTTTTATTGACAACTCACTGGCTTTGGCAGCATTTAGTCTGTATTCATTCAATCATGAAACATTCTGACAGATACCTTCAATAAAATGGTTTCCTTATTCTCTGGAAAACAAAACAGCAGTAAATATTGATTATTTTACTCGTGCAATGTTCGGATTTGCATTTACAATCAGTTTTTCTTCTTTCGTGTGTTTTTATGTTTATTTCTATATTTTGTGGCTGGTTAATATGGTTGAACTGAGACAGTAGTGACACTTGGTGGTTTATTTTTACAGTGTCGTTAGTATTTTATCCATGCAATATTCTTAAGTATTTAAATTGACAATGAAGTTTAAACAACTACTTCTAATTTTATACCTCGTAATCTTTGGGGGTTTCTCTGAAAAGATTTGTTATGGTTTTCCCGCGAGCTCAGCTTAGATAGCATAGCATGTAAGAATGTTAACAAAACTGGTATAAGCTTATTACAGTAATTTTTGTGATACATTTTTTAAATTTTTTATTAAAAAATCACATTCCTTTTTATGTTCCAGACTTAACTTGGGCAACACAAACACTTTCAAAAAAAATTTAAATTCCTAAACTACATCAATTTAAATGTAATATAAATTCTGGATCTCCAATAATATCCCTACTCAACAGTCTTATTATAAAGAAAATTCGCCAAAGGATTTATATCATTGGCTTTGCTTGGAGGTGATAGATTCGACTATTCGCCTGATTTACAAGACGATAAAATACCACTGACAGACAAACTGTAGGCCTCTACTTGAGATCTGATTTAGAACCGAGTCTCCAATGTCCAGAAGCTACTAAATCAGCTGTTAATATGTTGCGGTAAATAACCACAGCTGGAGTTGAGTTTGATATATTCCATCTCGCGTGTAAACCGCGGGAGAAAATAGTTCCTGAGATGGCCGCTACAATGGACAGCGCTGCGGATGGTTCCGTCCAATACAGAGAGATAGCGCTGAGAGTGGATCAGTAAATATATGAAGAGTAAATCGTTATAGTGTACAGTGCTCGTGTGTAAAAAAAGTAACCATTGAATACGGTAGTTCTGTTATTTGTGCAACTAGTGATACTTGTTCAAACGAGAGAAAAATGTTTACGCACAAGACTTGTCAAGTGTGTAAATTTTATCGAGTTAAAAAAAAACTAATCACTTTAACACTTGGCCATTTTTTTATGTCACAACGGCAAAAATATTGTGTTCAAACAAACGTACTTGCAACATTGAGGTTAGAATGTTTGGTGACTGAGCTGCATTATTGAAGCAACGTGGTATATTGTTCATCGTCGATTTCAAATTCTCTATTACATACTTAATCATCTTTATAAATTAATAATTACTCGCCTGTTGAAGCAAAGAATCGTTCATTCTGTTTAATTTTTACACTGTCCATGTAACAATTATGTTATTTTCATACAACCTATTTCCTGTTGATCATTATTCGTAAATATATATAGTGTTATATGTGTCCGTGAACGCGATAACTCGAGTATTATTTGCCCGATTATGGTGAAATTTGGTTCAAAGGTGTAAGGCGGGATAAACTTGAATGAATTCACCAACCAACATGATCGGATCATGGGAACGGGGTTTTACGGGGGGATTTTGTGCGGTAAAAATTGGGTTTTCTCATTTTTGACCCTCAGAACTCAAAAATTTCCCAATTTCTCTCTAGTCCTTTTTAAAGAGCTTAAAAATCAAACAATTTAGTATATCAAATTGTTTTTGTACGGTTATTGGTACCGGTAACGGAGAAAATAAAAAAAAAATGTTAATTTAAAATTGCCATGTTATTCTTATGGAGAATGTTATAAAATGTTGTACAGTAGTCTGCTTGTTTATGGAAGATATTTTGATCAAACGTGGCAAATTTATTGATTTTATACTAAGCTATTAATATTTTACTAAAAACCACACTTTATTACTTTCTTTGGAGCAGCAAACCTAGGTACTCGTTAAACCTAATGTTATTTAAATAGATTTAATTCAAAATCAATTAAGAAAAATGGTAACTCACTTAGTTGGCAGGTTTACTACGGCGGGAGTATTGTTTTCAGAGATACTCTGGCCTTTTGAGGAATGAATATACTTAGTTTTTTTCCCCTTAGAATACTTGATAATGGGAAAAAATATATTTTTGGCCGCATTTAAGACATTTCCTCCGTACACACGGACCTCAGGCCTATGCAGGTAATCAAGAATAAAGAATGATGGTGGAACGTATCAAGTAAACAAGAGTGTGTTGAGCCGATACAGTAAAAAACCCAACTGTCTTTTGACCTGTAAATTTTACTGGTAGCACAGGGGTACGAATTAACGATTTCCTGCCTTGGATTTGGAGTCCGTCACATTACCGACTCACCAAATTCTAGGTCCCTCACCAATACTCGGTTAATTATGGTAAATAATCAACTATATGATTTTGCACCATAATTTTACCAATGTCCCCATAATTTGTCCCATAATGCTGATAGTTACCTGGTCGCCGGCGCCACGACGGAGGGCCGGGCCGTATGTTACGCCTCCTGCAGCTCCGGCTTGCTATGGCCCAACCTCGCAGCCAACTCGTGCATGACGTCACGGAATATGATGGCGTCGATGTTCTCACCCAGCATGTAGAAGAGAAACCAATCTCCCATCTTGGACCTCCGGACGATGGCGTCAATGGCCTCTCTCCGGATCAGCCTAAACCTCAGCCGCAGCAGGTACACCCGCATACGGGGGCTCATGATGATTATTATCCTGGAAAATTATGATTCTTGATGTAGAAAGAATTCTGTTAGGCCTTGAACTTATTGAAACATGTATATTCTTTGACTAATTATAGAACTTAAGTTCAAAAGCCAATGGTAGAATCGACCAATTTACACATGGTGAAGTAGTGAGAAGAGTTTTATAGTTTAAGACGTCCCATTTTGATTAATTCAAAACATATTGTAATTACTAGTTTGCTCAGCTAGACTAGTAAAAATTATAATTAATTGATAAATTTTGTATGTTTACTCGGCTGATACGAGTAAGCCTAATCGTACTCAATTTAATGATTGACAAAGAATTAAATTAGTGTGTCCGTTTGACACTGCATAGCACATGCTACCGAGAAAGGATTTAAATTGTTTCTTGACGTTCCAGACCAGAGAGCTTACACCCTCCTGAACTGAGGCTCTCCTAGGACTATGTCCTCTTAAACCAATTCAAAAGTATCGAGGTATGATGAGGACTTTAATGGATGAATAGGAGTATTGAAAATGTAAATGGCCAGTGGGACGTGTTTAATAGAAGGCAGTTGAGTGTGATGGTACTCTTGGATTGAAATTATGAAGCAAATATAAGTGAATGGATATGAAGCGAAGAAGGCATTACCATTAAGGCACTAAAAACAATTCAAACTGCACATAATGTCCATTATAAACACTGTACATGATTGGAAACCATTAACACACTCATCACATTATTCTAAGTAGTATCATGGTAAAGAAATGTGATTTTCCTTAATATTATTCTTTGGGTACAACTTTCGTAACACATACAAGTAATATCAAATTTCAAAGAGTCTGAGCTACGTGCATTTTAAATAAAATAAATACAGAAGATTTCAGGGAAAACGGTCGAACCCGGATGTATCTTTTCCTACATAAGCCAGATATTAAACCCGCCTCATTGTACGCCAGGCTAGTAACAAACCCAACAGCAACTTTTGCTTGAATTAAGACACAAACTGAGAGAATATTTTGATTAACGATCATAATCTACAGTATAGTTTACATCGAAGTCTACCACACCTGTAAACTATGACACCCGACGTGAGAATGCCCAGGAGTAGGAACCAGAACCATAGGAACACGTAGATCTTCTCGTTGACTACGTTGAGAGGCAAGATACACACTGCGTCATGGCGTTCCACCTCTCCAGACACACCGAACTTGTAGAAAGTACACTTGGTCATCCTGTAAACACAGAAGGATTAGATAATAGATATTACATAGGATATATGGTTTGAGACCAGACGATTGCTTTTGTTATCTTTGCAAAAATTTTGCTTTGTCTTAAGATCATCACATACATCAGTAAAAATCCGTTTAACACAATATTGAAATAAGTTTGGGAGATTAAATTGATAACTCGTAGATTAGAGTACGAAAAACATTGAACGTTCGATCTTAGTTTATATTTGTCATAAGAGTTTGACTGATACACTTGTGAATAATAAGGCATGTACATTCTATATCTCAGTCCAGTCTACAATTTCAGTTAACTAAAGAAATATATCCTGGCGTCCTTGGCACAATAGAATTAGGTAATAAGGCAAAAACTGTACCATTAATGCAAATTAGTAGTCTAAATAAATTAAAAAAACAATATATTTTTTTATAAAACTACAAAGGAGATTTGTGGAAACTGGATCCAAAAAAAGCAAATGGTGTAGACAAATAATTTTAAGGAAAGTGTCATATAATCTGTTCGCGCAAATTTATTTATAACTTATCGTTTTCTTCTACATACAAAGATAATTAAATAAAAAAGATAATATTACAAAAAGTACATGTTAAACTAAGTTTTTCTTTTATAACCAAACCAGACTAATAGTGTGATCGCTCTAAGCTCACTAACACTAGTATACAAGTCATGGAGATCTAAGTGTGCAAATAATTATTCTTCGGAAACAGAAGCAATTGATTTCGAACCGAGGACAAAGATGAGGTAACATACCTCGGGAAGATGAAGATCATTGGATCTATCCTCTCCTCTTGGTCGCTCTCCATGAAGGTGACAACGTCGATGCCAAATGTTAGGAATGCACCGTCGAAAAATTTGTTCATGAGGAACATTTGGCCTGCACAAAGACATGTTTAAATTTGGCCTGCACAAAAAGTCTTTTGCTTTAATATTAGCCATTAACAATAATTTAAATACAAATTGGTATAACAGAATATCAATTATGCATACTTTATGGAGATTTTTTGTTAAAAAATCGTGGTTTTTCGATCTGACTAGATATAAGGTAGGGAAATGTATTGCTGCCAACTGACGTGTATGACGTCAGACGTCAGGGTCTTTGCCAACTATTACACTGTTTCATAAGGAGACCCATCTGGACATGTAAAAATGTAACAATATGTTATTTCATTTAATAGCTATATGTCATCTTAAAGCACTTGTGTCGAAACATGTCCTAAAATCACCATCCAGAATTTTGAGCTTAACGATATAAGTAATGGTCTTACAATAATTATGTCCAGCTCAGGGGCTCAACAATGAATTTTAATAAAATGTATAAACGTATAACTATGGCAGTGAATAATAATATTTACAGTTTGATTTTTTATTTTGAATATTAGCAAAACGAATTGTGGAACCCAAAGTGCATTGTAATATAAAATTCTCATTTTTATCAGTGACGAGTAAATCTCCACTTAAATAAAACTTTGAAAATCTGTTTAACAAAAACAAACGTGATAACAAATTTGATTTTCCAGATGGTTTGGATTACCTATGCTGTTTTTTTCATCACACTATATACAACTTATAACCAAACCAAATGAAATGTCACTCTCTAAACGATTTGTTACTGACCAATGACGTTGCCGAAGCTGAGCAGCTCACACAGGTAGTACCTATAGCACCACCAGTTGTGGTACCTCAGGTTCTCCCATAGATAATCCAACAGTAGCTTCTTCTTTTGCTTCTTCTCCACCTCGGAGCAGATGCCTATGTCTAGATCCATCATAAGAGCATGGATCTTTCCACCTTCCCAGTGCTTCCACAGCCATCGCGGGGTGTAGAACAGCACCGCCTGGAACAGGAGAGGCGTTTTAAATTGGGTAAATGACGGTCAACTGACTTGACAACCTAGCAGTATGACGGTCAACTGACTTGACGACCAAGTAGTATGTCGGTCAACTGGCTTGACGACCTAGTAGTATGACGGTCAACTGGCTTGACGACCTAGTAGTATGACTATCAACTGACTTGACGACCTAGTAGTATGACGGTCAACTGGCTTGACGACCTAGTAGCATGGTGGTCAACTGGCTTGACGACCTAGTAGTATGACGCTCAACTGGCTTGACGCCCTAGTAGTATGATGGTAAACTGGCTTGACGATCTAGTTGTATATAGATAAAATAATAACTTCCAAAGTTGCTAACCTAGAAGCATTGGCTTTTGCTACAATATTTGTTGCAATCCGTCTGAACTACATTTATTTGAAAACTGACACTTAAGTTCAGTCAAGTCTTAAGAAAACCCGAAAAAGTCGCTACCCTAGTTTCAAGATCTTTAATTATATTATATTTAACTTTGTTGTTGTTGGTAAGACCATAATGGTAGGGATATGAAGATGAATTAAAACATCCCCGCGACGATGCATCACAAGGTGGAGAAATGTAGAGGGGATACTCAAATACCTATCCTACTGGAACGCAGGCAACAACAAGAGAACTAAATCAAATATAATATACATACCTGTAATTTGATATGGATAAGATGTTGACTTTTTTGTTATTTTTGGCCTGGTGACAGACGTATTGCACGTAAAATCATGATTCTCACTAAAAGATTTCCCAACTGCTTTGGAACACTAAAGCGTTCCACTATCAGCGTAACTAAAAAAGCGTAACTTTCAGTCTATATTCAACTCATAAACCATAGCACGATTTTCAACATAGATTTTTAGGTCGCTCCTTTTTAATTGGGTCAAGTACGACTTAGCACGAATATAAAACATTGGAATAGAGCTCAGGTGAGCCTAGGCGAGTTGTAAAACCGTCAATATTGAGTTACTGTTACTGTTGCTATTGGCATCGACGCCGTACCCGTGTCCCGTAGGTTGGGACGCATCTTCCAACAATAGACCCTGCCATAGACAATACCACCAGGCTTGTTGTATCGTCTCAGAATTCTTATAGCTTTACTGGTCAAATAGGCTATCTTGTTCAAGTTCGAGGTGATTCCGTAGTACCGTACCTTTGTAATTCGTAGTACATCATTAAACTTCAGAGTAACGGAATAATAAGTGACGTTTTAGCCTTTAAATAGTCGATAATCTTAAAATTTTTTGATAATCGTAATAATTTTTCAGTTTGGAGCGTCTTTGAGATGTACAGATTTACCCTATAAAAGAGAGTTCGTTATAGACCCATTGGAGGTGCTATGTTAAGAGATAAATTAATTGAAGCTAATACATCTAGACAAAAAGTCACCTGTTTGATCCCTAGAAAATAAAGTAGTTTTTTTGGCATCGAAGCTAATCATTTGAAGCCACAGTTGTCTTAAATCATTAAGCTTTAATAATTACCTTAATTACCTTAATTACTGTACCTCCTTCTTCACCGAGACCAGCAGAGCCGGATAGGTTGCGTTAATTTTCTTTTTATGATTTACACTATATACATAAAAACTTCCATAGATTGAAGTATAAACTGTATTAAAAGTACTTTGGCGGTGGATGATTTTGCCGCAGGCTTATTGACTTAAAGTTTCTCATCAAAATAGTCTTGTAGGCTGTAGTATGGTTTCTCCCTCAACAAGTTTTTCAGGGCTGCACGAAAGGTCGTTTCCCCTTGGTTTTTGATTGACGTAGGCAGATGGTTGTAAATCTTCAGGGCAAGCGTTGGGAAAGAGTTTTTGGTTTTAGACAGCCGGCAGAAAGGTATGTCCAGGTCGGAGCGATGTCTTGTACCATGGCTATGAACAGTATTTCTCGTAGGGAATTTATGTAGGTTTGCCTTCACATGGTCGGCTGACAAAAAAAATTAACGACTGACAATAGTTAAAATACCGGTGCTGACAAACAGAGGTTTGCAATGGTCATTTCTTTTACTAGAAGTTAAAATACGTACTGCTTTCTTCTGCAATTTGAGAATTTCAAGACATTATGGTGCATGGCCCCAGAGAAGGAGACCATAGCTTAAGATACTATGGAACAGAGCGTGGTACACAATAATCAAATAAGGTTTACTGACAAGCCTAGTCAACTTCCGAAGTAGATGGACCACCCTGGACAGTCTTTTACCAACTGATTGAATGTGTTTATCCCAAGCAAGTTTTGGATCAATTGCAAAACCAAGAAGATTTACGTTTGGCATAAATTAATAAATTATACTGGTAGAAGCAACAGTTGATCTTAGACGTCAGCTACACAGATCCTACCCTATTCCAGACTCATCTTGCATTCCACATTCAGCTTAAAATAAGCACCTAGGTAGCGTTCCTAACTAAAAATATTAGAGGATATTTCTAAAACTCATCCTTTGTCTAGTAAGGCGCGATGTGTAATACATTCTGATTGTCTGTGGAACAATATGGTGTGATTTATGTAAGCACATCTGTTACGATTACAAAGGATAACAAAGCTACCCATGTGTCGGGCCATTAATGTGGCCAACTTTTGAATGTTTAAAACTCCCAGTTAGTATTTTGAGACGAAATACTAAAGCAAGGTTCTTTGATCAAAATGGTTTGATTCTTACTAACCAACTACTCTCTCATACTATAATTGCTAATACATTTTTTAGCGCCTCTAGCATCGGAGAGGAAAGGTCCGATCCCAGAATATTCACAAACATTGGGTTTGTACTGTTTCCCCTAAAAGATAGACATAAAAGAATAAATGTAATGGCTATTTTTCGTTTGCGTTAATACTGTAAATCACAAAGTGATCTTAGTGCGTTTTTCAAACTCAACCCATTTTCAACTGAAGCGTTCAACAAACGTAGGCCCTACTTAAATCAATTTTAGATGTATAAGTGTTACTCTTAATATAGAGTGATTTGTTGAATCTCAACACCTCATTTACTGTGAAGCACATTTGGGACAAATTTCTCGTAATGTCAATTCATTGGCTTACGTAAATGCAAATTTTAATTTGTCTTAGTATAAATTATTCAAAAGGTCAAGCTGTGCCAAATGGCTTGGGCTGACCACTACGGCTACAATACCTTGTGAGATCATTTGTGAACTGTTAAATTGAATTAATTTAACACAATCAAATTAATTCAATGTAATTTCAAACTAAATTTTAAATAAAAGTTATTTGTTATATAATAAACAAGCAGTAAGCCCGTTATACTTGTTTGTAAAGTCAGTTAAAACCTCATTTGGTTCAGAGCACTTAATGGTTTTATATAGTAAATCATAGGAGAAAAATACCCAACTTTTTTTATATTTTTTTTATTTTATTGTAAAATAAGTTAAACCGCGTTTCAGCTAATAAACAAATTTGTAAAATACAGGAATAAACTTAATCTTTATCGGGGTTCTAGTTCCCAAAAGGTTCCCAAAGTAGTGTAAATTGCTATCATCGGTATCACTACAGATATACAAACGACAAGAAATTTCGATGAGGCCTTTTTGAATTACTTACCCTATGAAGAGTAAAAATAACCAATACGAACCTAATATGAAATATAATCATAAACAAAACTATGTACTTTTGTAGATTTTGTAGTGTTTTAGATTAAAAACTACACCTTTTAATTCACACCTACTACTCTTACTTACTTATTTACTCTTCTATGAAGAATATAATTTATAGTAATTTCATTGCTCTGAAAACGGAAAATAGATTAAAAAACTTCTTGATCAGCATCGTACGTGTTATTAAAAAACCTGAGAGTATAAAAATACGTCAAATTACACTCGTAATAACATATTTACACTTAAACCGTTATTCTCACAATACGGTAAATACACATACAAGATGTTAAGTGGTGATCGATTTTGATTGTGGACACTCCAATCATCATCAGACCTGATAGGAAAATGACAAAAAATCTCAAGGCGTCTAATACGGTATACTACTGGAGGTACCGGCCAAGAAGTGTACAAGTACAACTGGAGTCAAAATGCACTTGTTCATTAATTAGTTTCACACAAAAAATACAATTGAATCCTTTAACACGCTACCCTTACAGTTGAAGTTACAGTGTTATAATTACGAAATGGTGGCCATAATGAGATTGTGTCCGTGAATCACATCTATGTCAAAAACATTTTTGGTTACCAATAACCATCGACAAATCAAAAGGAAAAACTTAAAACAAACTCATTTAAATAACGAATTAATAACCCACCCTGTTATTATATATGCCAGCTTTTATCGCAATAATTGGTAATTTGGCCAATCAAAACCAATAAACAAAGTTTATATTACAATCAACCGCTGATTAGTTTATTAATTACCACATTGTTTAGCCTGAAATGGAATACGTGGGAACATGTAATTTAATTTACCAAGCTTGTAGCAACAGTTCAATTTTAACTTTACCACTTAACATTGGTACGCCTGACGTCACCGCTTTCCGAAATAATAATCATTAAATTAGCTACGCATTACTGTGCGGAATATTGACTTTGCCGTATTCTAAATAAGTTCTGTTAAAACCCACGACATATACTTTCATCCTAATAGTACCACGCACGAACTATTATTTGAGATTGGTAAAATGAGTGAATTTATTCGTGGAACTATACTGGAAGAAAGGAAGCAAAGTTGTTAAAGATCCTATTTTTGGCATTATCCTTGGCTTATTGTGTTTTTTATAAGCCAGTGTCATTTATTAAGGTTTTTTGTAGGAGGACGGTACGTACCCTGGTCTTGTCATTGACGACGACCTGATGTCATCATTAATTGATAGCCCAGTGACATCTGGATCTGGTCATGTCTTTGCTTGGAATCGAACCAGCAAACTTCAGATTTTAAGGCAAGCACAATGACCACTTGGCTACCCAGAAAATTATGTTATGCTATATACACTTGAATATCGATAAGACGCACCTTTTACAAACTTCTAA